ATGGATGAAAATAATACATAAATAATACATATGAAAATAATAGAAAGAAGGAAGAGAGAGATGTGCCATTGATGATGGTGACTAAGCAACTGTGTGATTGCAAGGATCAATGAATGTTCAGAATGTTCTACTAAGCCAGTCCGGAGCTCTCTGGGAGGCACTCCTTCTCGCTGCAGAAACACCCCACTGGATCAAAGCCAGTACCTTTCATTTTCCATGTTTCTTTCTCAACCACAAAAATTGTTTCACCAAGAAATCAGTTGAGTTTGCTTACTCATTCAGTGAACAGTTGTTTTAGATATCCTTCTTTGACTTGAGGCAGTGCAACTCCTCAAACTCCAGAATTAGCAGAATGGGTCAGAAAACCAAGTGGCCTTTCATGTTTGTGAAGCAGGTTTCATGTATAACATCCAACACTAATAATACTTCTTTTGTCTTCATCCCTGGGCCCCAGGGCTCTTTTTGTAGAAAAAGCCCAGCAGGAACTCAGTAGCATAATAGGCCACACCCAACAACAGGAACTCATTAGCATATTAGTCCACACCCCTGATAGCACAGTTCAGTAGCACATTAGACCACACCCCCATGTTACCAGAAGTGTGGTCATCCAGCCACACCCACCTTTTGCTTGTTATTCTGTTTACCTTGTTTGTTGTCAAAACCCAGGGCTTTTTTTGTAGCAGGAACTCCTTTGCATGTTAGGCCACACACCCCTAATGTAGCCAATCCTAATGTGTTTCTGCTGTTGGGTGTGGCCTATTATGCTAATGAGTTCCTGCTGGGTGTGGCCAACTTGGGAGCCAGACGGAACTCCGTTCCTGTGCGTTCCTGCCCAAAAATAGCCCTGCCTGGCACCATTAGAAGGATTTCACTTGGAAGGATACGATCGCTGTAACTCACTTTGGTGCTTTTGGGGATTGTTGTTGCTTTCGCTACACAGCAACCAATTCAAGAAGTGAAGTCTACATTTTGAACTAAGTTATGTCTCTGATCTAGCTTGTAGGGGTTCCACAGATACGTATATGAAACACAAAGTTTTGTGACAAAACAGTCCAGTTCTGATTAATCTGAAATGTCCTTATTAGGCAAAAAGTTGCAGAAGAGGAAGATGGTGTGTGGAGGGAAGCGAAGCATGGTGGGATGTTAAGAACGCGGCAAAGCACAGAAACGGTAGGGCATCGGAGGCGACGTAAAGCCAATGGCAGGGGTCAGGTCCAGGTCTTCTGCCAACGTCCCAGGGGCTGGCTGGAAAGTGAATCTCTGCAGGAGAGTCACAAAGAAGAGGAAGAGCTCCATTCTGGCCAGGGTCTCACCAGCACACACTCGCCGACCTGTGACAATGCAGATGGGACAGGGATGCCCTGTTATTTCAACTTGTTTATAAAGTTTTATACCATTTTCCCCATGGAATGATGACCAAAGTAATTTACCATAAATAGAAAAAATTAAACATGAAAGCAGACTAATGTACGTAGTATCAGAATGATTAACGTTACTGAGGAAGAATGGTAATCTTGAAAGAATTTTTGAGAAATGGCCACCTGGGACGGTGTTCTTCTAAGTAAATGGATTTGGAAGCGTGATCTGTTAATTAAACCCACAGTGATAAATCTAAACAAAGTTACCTGCAGAGAAAGGCAGGAAGGCATCTCTCTTGACGAACTTTCCTTCGGAATCAAGGAAGTGCTCAGGATAGAATTTAAGCGGTTTCTCCCACTCAGATTCATCATACAGCACAGAGTACAGTAATGGAACAATATGTGTTCCCTGAAAAGGCAAAGCAATGCGTTATTGAAAATAAAGATGGCCCATCAAGTACATAGGTATCCTTCAGACAAAGAAAATGACACCTTACAGAGTTACATGAGAATTCAAATGCAATGAAAGCAAAATAAAAAATTGACTTGGATGGACAGATTTTTCAGAATTTGATTTTTTTTTTTTGGCACAATCCAGGCAATACTACTGCAAAGGTCAAGTTACATCAAACACAATAGTATCAAAATATGTATTTACTAGGAGTATGTCCCGTTGTGGGAAGAAATACAACGAGATCTAGAAGGAAGCTCCAGATGAGTGTTCCGGCTGTGGCTGGTGGGGTGGCAGAGGTAAGCCATGTTTC